GATACTAGTGCTCCTATCTTCTTGGCTGGACTGGATGCTTTCTAGCCGTGTTGAGATACCCCGCAGCAGTCTATTTTGAGGGGAAGCTCCTGGCTGCGCTGCCAGTCTTAGTTTATTCAAATGTTTCTGTGACCATGTGATGTGGTCCCAGAATAGCTGTGCCTGAGCTGGCTCCATGCTTCTTCAGACAGCCACTGCTCTGCTGCCCTCCGCACAGCCCCCTTCCTGGCACGCAGCTCTCACAACACAAGCCTGCTCTTGGCAAAGGCTCTCACTAGCCTTGTGGCTGAACGCAGTCCTCCTGAGCAATAGGCTCAGAGTTGCAAAGCAAGACAAGCCCTGCACAATTTGCAGAGTCCCAGCAGCAGAAGGGTGACAACTGGAAGCCCTCTCATCACCTTGTCCCCTGTCTGGCCATCCTTTCCTGGCCCTCCACAAGGCTGGCACAGGAGCATGGCACTTCCCAAGGCAAAATACTGCTCTGCGTCTGAAGCCAGAAGGCCATTTAACCACCTAGCACAGACATTTTGAAGTTAGTCTAAATTACATGGAAAAATGGTTCAGCCAAATCTAAGCCTTGGGTACTCCAAGAGGTTTTGCATGATGAACTACAGAATGATAGCACTGAGCATCTAAACATGCATCTATTAAAGCTGCTTTTTATTGCAGTTGCAGTACCATTTTAATAACTTAATTCTCAGTCTAGGCTGCTTCTAATATTATATGGTTTACCCAAATGAAAAACACTGAGTGAGTTATGGCTTGATGCTTCCTAAGTAATTATCCCTTCATTAATCAACAAATTATACTTATCTGATTTTATCTTGTCTCTGACATAATTATGTGGTTCTGTGATTCTATGCAAATGTAGATATGTCTCACTTTGCAGTTGCACTGCAGATAATTTTGCCATCATTTTCTTGCAAGCAACAAACCTGGAATACATGGCACTAGCATAAAGACAGATAGAAGTGCAGTGAGTTAGGCATATGCTATCATCTGGAACACTGGAATTACAGCTCTCAATTGCAGTTCTGTTCTCTCACTTAGAGGAGGTAATCAGAACAATCACATGATGTAGTCTTCATTTTAACTTATTGGTAGAAGTCTCTTATTTTTAAGATGAAGGTCTGGAAAGCCTACAACAAAATTAGAAAATCTGAAGGTAAAGCGGAAAGTTTCAAAGAGATTAATTTTTGTCAGTGATTGAAACCAAATTACTAGGCTAGAATCATACTAGGAAAGAAGAAATTTGATTTATCAACAGAACTTGTATTTAGTCTTATTTTTGTTTGTAGGAGCTGCAGCTGTATGCCAAGAGTTCTGACATCCCTTTGCATTCCTCCTTTACACTTCAGTATTTCTCACTATTTTCTTAAATGTCTCTCTTTCCTCATGTGCGATACATCTGAATGCAGAGATTTTCTACTTTGGAGGTCAGCAGACCGAGTCCCAGGATCACATCCTGGCAGGTTTGAAGATCTCCAAAGAAGATTCCTCAGCCTCTCTGGGCATTTCGTGCCTGGGCTGTGTCACTGCACAGTAAATAAGTTTTTCTTCATGCTCAGCTTAAACTTGTTCCAGTTTGTGCCCGTTGCCTCTTGCTTTGTCACTGGGCAATTCTCAGGGTAAGGAGGACTGGTGAACAGGATTTCTCAGATGGAGTAGCAGGCAGATTTTCCACTCCATCCTCAAAAGCAATAAGGTGGGAAATGAAAATTATCTGGAATATTTTCTGTTTTCTGTGATCTAGTTAAAAGCTTGTGAGGCCATTCATATATTCCAGAACACATCTTGCCAGGACAGGAGCCTTTCTTTCTTTCAAGAGACTTTGAGAAAAACCAAGAAAAGATATATTTACAGAGCTGTGGGTTAGATCATGGTGAGGCTATGAATAAAGGAAGGGAAAGATTCACATTAGACGTGTAAACAAACCTGCTGGTTTAAAATACAACCACTACATTCTGCGAGTTATTTCATCATCGTAATGGTTCTCAGCATGAGGGGTACTAAAATGTTCTTAATGCAAAATCTCTTTCCTGTGTAACACTGTGGTAGACCTCATCAACTTAGCAAATAAAATTTGTTGGCGGTGTGGGCGTCTGTGTACTATGGCTTCTAACATTTGTCAAAAACATCACGTGTAGACCTTCTTTGCTATTGATTCCAAGTGATCTTGCACACTGGTCAAAAAGACAAAGTTCAGAACCACTTCTAAAGTTTGTTTTGGAGTCAGCAGTTCAAAGAGTGTTCAAAGGTCATTGTTTCCATCTTTAGTTCTTTTTTTTTTTTTTTTTAAACTGAAAACTTCCCAAATGCTTTCTACAGCTGTGGGTAGTTCTTAGTTAGTTTAGAACACTTTCAGGTACAGCTTGAACAATACTTCTTCAGTAAGAAATGTACTTATGTAAGTATGTAACAACCACCAGCTCTATAACCAGGCTTACCAGAAACGTTACAGCCAATGGTGGAATAAGAGAAATAAATGAAAAAACTTGGTCAGTGGCAAAAGACTGGGCAGGAGGAAATCTTCACCCTGGCTGATCTTGGCCAAGACAAACTTGTGATAAATATTGTGGAGAATCCTCTAAATGATAAAAAGCCCTACTGTTAAGCTATACAAAATATTACTATTTAATAAGTGGAAGAGAAACAAATAAGATTGTTTTTAAAATGTGTGATGACTATAAACCAGTCAATAAAGTGGACTGTAATAGAACAGAAAGGATACTAAAAATAAAGCAACTTAATTTGATGGATCTGCAGAGCTGTCTCCTAATACAGTGATTACACGAGCTCTTGAAGCTGATTCCCACTGCCATTGGTGTATAGGCTATCCTTGCACCGTAAAGGTGATATCTCTTCTATCTGTTTATAAATATTAGTCGCTTGGATGGTGCTGCCTGAAATTAGAGCTGGTGACCTTTCACCAAATGCCACAGTTCAGCATCTGAGCAGGGCCAGAGGTAGTGCAGGAGCTGAATATGGATGCCCTGCCAAACCAAGCCCTCCCGCACAGCTCTCACGCACCAGGGCAGCCCTGCAAAGGAACTGTGAATGAGTTCTCCCTGAAAGTGGCTGCATGGGAGCTCTTCCTATCATGGGTACATGTATTACGGACAGGAAGAAAGAAACAACTCACTACAAAACGCTCACTACAAAATGTCAACCCATAGGGGAAAAAAAAAAAAAAAACCACCACAAAACACTGGAAAATGTCCTGGTAAACACAGGCAGTATTGCTTTTCTTTCTATAACCTTTCCCTGTTGCCAGTATGTTGTCTTAAAAATAGATGTATGCAGCCCAAGGATTCTTGAAGGGGCTGAGGGCAGAATGCAGCTGAGGAGTTACTATAGCTGGTTGAAATGGCTTGCTGTTGGGTGCTGCATATCTTAAAAGTTGGGCAATGTACTGGTGAGGCACTGTAGTCCAGACTGGTGTGTGGAAAGTGAGGAAAAAAAAACAAAAAACAAAAACTGTAAGGGCTCCCAACCCTTTTCTTATTTGTATCCAATTAATGAAATAAATGAAAGTGTCCAGTTATGGCTCTGAGAACAAATTGAGTTAAAACCTTAACAGTCTAAATAAATTATGCACTGCAGAAACAGCCACATGTTTTGCTTTAGGAGCAGCATCCAGAACATCATGGAGTCCTTCCTAGCACCATGCCTGCTATGGCTGGTTTGGTGAGCAGGAGGCCTCTTAGTGCTAAGGGATACGTGCTAGAGCCAGTAAACAGGGAAATGCAGGAGGAATAGCCAAGTAATTCGCCAGGAAGCGCTTCAGGATGGAAGTAGCATCTCCACCCACACCCAGCACATCCATGCATCCAAAATGGAGACTCCCTCTTCCTTTCAAAGACACAAAGAAAAAATAAAACAGATGCAAAAACTATATTTTATCTCTTTTACAAAAGTGAGAGTGTGGCTACACCCCAGTGGCTGGTGTCTAACCTGAGCAGGCAGAGGGAGCAGCACTAGCCCTAGCATGTGCAAGACAGCCTGTGGTGAAAAGTCTGGGATACAGGAGAGGCTAGGCAGGCAGTAGTCCAGCTGTCCCATTTGCCTGGCCACATGGGCCTGAGTCCTCTCCCACCTGACTGCCTCCTTGTTTTCCAGTCCTCAGCATGGCCTGTGGAGAGCTAGGCACTGCTCAGGGCCAGGCACATGTCTTCACAACATTGGTAGCTGGAGCACAGGCAGAGCGAGAGCTAAGAGGGGATGGTCAGAACTGTCCAGACCCTATAAGGCATTTGCAGTCCTGGACAGCTGGACGGTCCATCTAGCTCCCAAGCACTAATGTTGTGTTGCCAGCAGCACGCTCTGAATCAGCACATTAAATGCCGGCATGCTTTGTGGGAATCCTCACAATTTACTTCTGCTTACACAGCACAATTCTTTCCTTCTGTGGTAATGCATGTTCTCAAAATAACGCAAAGAACACCAGGTGAGGGTTGCTAGTAAAAGAGATGTTCTTTTTCAACCAGATTAATTTCTGGCGATGATGGTCATACCATCAGAGCAGAATGGTACCAAGCTGCACATGCTCTTTCTGAAATTCAAAATCCTCCTCCAAGATGTCTCATTTTCCATTTCCCATCTTCATATACCTAGATCTGACAGAATACTAGCTGGCAGTATTAACAGGATGTGTCAGAGTTACCATATATTAATGTGCATATTTCACAAATGTTAGCTCTTGGTTAGGATAAGTCCACACTGAAGTACACTGAATAATTTGTAGGGCCTAGAATCAATGTGTGAAATCATCCATGTTAGCCTTTATATTTTCATCAAAGAACTATGGACTGGTCAAGGAATCACTCAGTGTAAGAAGCTATACGATCTTCAGAAGAGGACAGAATATGATATTCTGGTGACAGTATTGTTTGTTTGAGAAAGTTAGGTACCAGTGAACCTAGCACAATCTTTTCTTATAGTATCAGTGATTCTGTGTAATTAAAAAAAGATGAATAAAAAAACCAAACATTTTCCCCTTGTTTTCTTTCAATGCTTCCTTTAATACAATCTTTTAATGCCTTTTGTTTTACAGTACAACTGTATTTTAAAAAAAGCTTACGAAAATGTGGCTTATCCCCTTTCTTGTTACAAAGGTCTGACAGTTCAGACTTGCAATATATTCTTTGGTTTAGCTTCAAGGCATTCCTTCCCATCTGCATAGTGACTGCAGCAGGCCTTCTTCATTTAGCTGCATGTTTTTTGACAATTTCCAGGTACTCCTTCACGTCATCAGGAGATCCCAAGACAACAGGCACTCTTTGGTGGATATCCTCAGGCACTATATCTAGTATTGGCTGATGTCCTGTTGTTGCTATTCCCCCAGCTTTCTCAATAACAAAAGCCATAGGGTTGCATTCATAGAGCAGTCTCAGCTGTAAGACAAAAATCAAAATGACAGTGCTCAATCCAGACAATGCTCACAATCACATAACTATCTGGCAATTGATTTAAAGCCAATCAACACTTGTAGTACTCCATTCTTAATATAAACTTGACTCCAGAATTGTGTGAATTTTTACTGTAAATAAAGCAGAAAGAATGTTGGATTTGCTCAGTTTGACTGCTTTCTCCATAGTTCATATTTGCATTGTGCTCTTTACACAGAGATAAAGCCCATATGCAAGACACAGCCTTTAACAAGGCAGCAGATCGTATAGTAAGAAAAACAGTGGCCCTGAGTATGCCATTAGGTTTCTCTAATGAGTAACTGCATCTTATCTGCAATCTGAAGCAATAATTTATGGACAGTTACAAAACAGATGAAAGGTCTTTGCTGAATAAATAGTCACCCTGTCAGCCTCTAACAGTGTGCTTTTCCACAAGGGACTCTTTGCTGCCAAACAAACAGCCAAGAAACAGCCAAGCATGGCTCCTCCAGATGAGGCAGCACCACTAAGAAAAAGATGAAGAGGATTTCCTGTTCAGCAGAGCTTCTCTTAAGGAGCACATTACATTTAAGCTTCCGATACCTCGGATTGTAATAGGAATCTCAGCATAGTGTGAGCCCTTTATTTTGTTTTGTAATTTTTCCACTTAACTGGGGACACTATGGTTTGGGCAGACAGATGCTTAAACAAACAATCCCTAGTGCGTTCCTGCTGATGATCCATGATCTATATTCATGTGAATATAAAATTGGTGTCTGACAGTAAGTTGCTGTCTCCTGTGATAGCATGTGAAGAGTGGGTCATATGTGCATATCAGAGATACAAGCTTCCAAGTTGTAAGAATTACACCCTGGAATCAAAATACTGATCCACGATAATGAAATATCTATGTAATGCAACTTCTTCTGTAATTGGACTTATGCAGATTTACCTTCCCTTTAGGACTTTTGGAGTTAGCAGGATACAGAAAGATTCCTCCATACACCAGTGTGCGATGTACATCAGCCACCATAGATCCTATGTACCTTCCACCATATGGTGAACTGCCATCCTATAGAAAGACATTCAGATAAACGTAACTTTTGAGCACGTCAGGTTAGTCTTTTTTTTTTTCATCTTAGTGGTTGTAACATCTAACTCCTCCATGTTGCAGTTCATAGTATTCCAAGTAGTTTAGGTTAAAAATTCGGTTTCTTCCTCATTTTCTAATTGGGAAAATCCAAGGAAAAAAACAGATGGAAGATCTCAGAATGGATGAGTGCTGGTGCCAACAGCAGAAATGCTGCCCAGCTCTCTATCAGCGCTCTAACCCTTGGAAAACACCGCATTTCCAGTAGCAAAAAGATCAAGTGATGGAAACTGATGTTGGGTTTTTATTCTATTGTAATGAGGAAAAAATAAAAAAGCAAAAGAAGTAATTTAGTGATTCTTTTTACCCTTTTGCTTCAGTTTTGACAGTTCTTTTGTCAACAAAAAGTTAACATTTGACTACCAAAATTTGTTCCTTGATACACTGAAGATAGTGTCTTTCAGTATCATTTTAGTATCTTGATAAAAAGCACCTTAAACTTACAAGTCACCAGAAGAAAATACCAGTCTTCATTCAGGAAGTTGAGTGTGGAGATGAACATTAACAATACTACATACTGACACTGTTATTCACCTAATAACTGCAGTGAGGACAGAAGGAAGGCGTAAGAATGGACATGTTTCTGTGGGTATTCCTCAGAGCTTCAGGCCTTCCGATACCAGGAAGCTGCATGACCACAAAGCAGACCTTGAAAGAGCATGAACTTTTCACATGAGAAGCCCCTGGGGACACAGCCCATGTTATCACTGAGCACAAGGCCAACATCCCTGCTCAGCTTCTACATCTAATCAGACGCTGCAGTGTGACAGCTGCAACCTAAAATGCCTGTAGAAAATGTTTCTTCATCGCCAGATAACACTTCCTCTCTACTTTACCACTGAATGCCCAGTTTTAACCCAAGAACAGCTACTCAGGCCCCTGGCTAAGATAGAAAAATCAGAAAATATTGAAGAAAAGGAAGAAAAAGCAGAGGTGGAGTGTAATACTGAAGGTTAGCTGCTCTAACTAGCAGTCCTACACACATAGATACATTTTAATAGATTTAAAAAAAAAAAAAGAAAACAAACAAGCTTGGAACGTCATACATGAGGCAGTAACTGATGTTAAAGCAGGAATTGCTAAGTGTAACTTGTGATCAGAAAGCTTCTCTGAAACTGCATTTTTTACCTCAGGAAATTTCTTCTTTTTGAGATACTCGGTGACTGCAGAATCGAAGTATTTGGCATAGCCTTCATTGAGACTGTAGATGTTCCCCTTCTTTTTGATTTTCACATCCCTATCAACCAAAATGAATTCTCCAATTGCCTAAAAATAAGAAAGAGAAATAGCATGTCAATGTTGTTTTCTCATTTATTTACAAAGTGAAAGCCAATCATATACACAGCTTAGGAAATAATCACTACAGCTGCTACTTTCTTTTATGATTCAGTATCTGTGAAAAAGGTGGTATTTGCTGTTCAGATACAGTTTAGAGCAGGAATCCTGGGGCCATGCAAGCTTTTTTATACTACCATTTTCAGCTTTCTCTCAGTTTTCTATATAAAGAAAATAATGCTGTTGCCTGTAAACTCATTTAGCTCTCCATACTTTTGCTAAACTCATAACAAAGGAATGGCTATGAAGAGTACGAAAACTGAGAGTGCCAGATGAAGCAATGTGCAAATGTTTCCAAATAGATATTAATACACTCTAGTTTGTCCTAGCTTGGTCTAACTAGAAGACTGAAGCCAAGAGATTTGATCTCTGTAGCCAAGGCTGGGCTGTTTAGTTTTCAATGATGTAAATTTCTATGTTAGTTAAAGCAAACAAAATAAAATTCATACATGCTCAAAGCTGTCTCCTATCTGAATGTAAACAAAAACACATGCAGCCAATTAAGCTCTTATTTTACAGGGAGCACCACATTATATTTCCTGCTTCTTGACAGCTGCAGGTTCTAAAATCTTAATGCAGGCAGGTACCACATTCTGGTTAACCGATAACACAAATACGGGTTATTATAGCAAGCAACTCTCTGCTGCAGTCAATATGCCTTTGATTTTAAAGCTTATACATCAGCATGTTCTACAGTGTCTAACACATTCACACACATCACTTACTCTTTTACTCATCATGGCGAGATCTGAAAATATAAAAGAAAGTTAAGAATCTCTGCTTCAACAGTTTACTAAAGCCCTAGCATTAAGGAAAAAAGGCATAAAAAATACTCAGCTGCAGTCTGCATTGCAGAAAATACCTTGTTTTAAGTGCCACATTATTTGACACGCCCTGCATATCTGCTTCACTGATTTGACTGTCTTCCCATTGCTGAATTGCTGAGTGCGGCAGGCAGGCAGAATGCAAAAATCTCTTGATCTTAGTTTTGACAGGTTACAGAATGTACTTAATTTTTCCACATCGGCTTTAATTTGAAAATTGCTCCTTTGACCTTTTTGATGAACAAATGAGTCTTACAGACAGTTAACTTGTCATCCCTAACAAACAAACGAGCAGAAGACATTCTCACCGGATCAAGCATAAAACAGTTGACACCTCCAGCAGAAGTAGCCAGTACCAGCATTGTGGCACTCCCATAGAGGGCATAACCCGCTGCCACAAGATTACGCCCAGGTTGTAAAGCATCTTTCCCAGTAGGTTCATCAGGGGATATCTAGAAAAAGCAGTGCAAAAAATTACTTTGTTTTTTAAATCTGCTATATAATGTAACTGAACTCTGAGATAAGAATCATCTTCTACGGCATATCCAAGCACAAATGCTTGCATGGCTTACAACTAGGATTCCTAATAGATGTGTTTTATTATTGTATGCGTTACGTATAATGAACAAATTATATGGAAGAGACAAACACATTCATCTAGAAATGCTCTTATATAAGCCTTGTTGGAATGCAGGAAACAGGAAAGGATTAAGGTGATAATATAGAGCTGTGCACCTCCTTGTAGGAGGTGAGGAACACAACTAGAAGCAAAACTCCAAGGCATAATTGAAAAGCAAGCAATGAAAAATGACTCATGGAGTTTACAGCTGAGCAAAATATCTAGGTTGTTTTATTTTCCTTTGCTTCATCGAAAAGTGAAGTGGAAAATAGTTACTTTGAGGGATGTGAGAACATAAAAAAGATGATTAAAACAGACAGTTGGGTGTGTTTTTATCTGACTTACTGTTTCCCCCATCTTGTGACATGTAAGTCCAGTATTTCAGGCTTTTCAGACAAGGTTTCTGCCTTTCAGAGTAGATTAGACACTCAAATGCACATGCCATATTTCAGCTCTGGTTTACGTTTGAAGCCTGTCCTCAGGCTAACATAACTATTAATACAGAGAAAAAGAAAACCTAAAAGCGCATTTCCCATGTAGATTACAATCACATGGTATTTTGTCTCAATAAATTTATTTATGAATCTAATACCAGCTACGTTTGTAAGGGGTGACTACTTTAGCTGACTAATTAAATATCAGCAAGGCTTCCATATTCTTCTAATGTTCATCTCCTAATACAGTGATGCAAGTCTTTTATGCAAGCATCTGAAACAGCAGATTTAACTTACAGTCAGTCCTGGAAAGTCTCTCTCACAAATAAGTTTAGTTAGATTTTATTAAATTTTCATATGCAATTTTATTTAATTCAAAGGTGCACAATAATATTTTTTCCCATTCTATAGGAAAGCATTTTACCTTTCTATAGATGCCAAAGATGGTCCCAATGGAAACAAGGCAGTCAATGTTAGATGATCCATCCAGAGGGTCTATGCAGACTATGTATTTACCCTAAAAATATAAAACGTGTGACATAAAATAGTAACATTATTTGCTTTACCTCCTACAAATAAAAGTGTTCAGTAGATAAAAATTCTCAGATGTTTCCAAATCAACATAAATTAAAATGCTCTTGTAGATTATGAAGGAACAGAATTTCATTATTGAAAGAAATCTGACCTGCATGTCATTCTTGATTACAATTGTGATTTGTGCCACAGTAGAATCTGGGGAATCCTTAAAGTAAGTAACGATGATGAAACACCAAAGCTGGTTTTCTTTTCTTTTTCTTTTTTCTTTTCTTTTCTTTTTTCTTTTCTTTTTCTTTTTTTTAATTTAAATGGTTAAGTAATTATTTTAGTTTCATATATCAAGCTAATGCTGATCCATTTTGATAGACATCCTCTAACATCTATTATTTAGCCTACATTTTCTCACCTCTAATGAGACTGCATGCTGAATTTTAAGGAAAAAGACAATTATGTATGTCTTTTTTTTTTTTTTTTTTAATTAAGAGCTAAAATTAGAGGGATTAAATGACACCTGACATTCAGAAATTATGCACTTTACTGCATATTCCACTTTAAACAGCTTAACTAAGCCCTCTGCTCAGAAATGGACAGGCACTCAGAAATTATTGCAGCCAGTTTCTGGTTTTGTCCTGTGGGCTGGGTGCTCATCCCCCCAGAAAGGAGTGGTTTCTGCCTATGGCCATATTAAGGATTCTTGCAGACAAAGGAAACTGCCAGTACAGGGAAAACAGCTGTGCTTTTTACGTAGCTCATTTTTCCCCTATCCTGTCCACAATCACTAATTATGCATACTAACTGTGTTTGCATAACTGTTTTTCATTCAATTCAATCCTGTAAACCAGAAACCTTTTTAAACCCAGAAATGCTATACTCTGCTATCATATGGGTAGGAATTCTGAGAAAAGTGCCATATTATCTCACATTTTGTTTAAAAAAAAAAAAAAGCATTAGCATTGAGCCTCCCTCAGTGATCTGTGAGGATCTGTAATCACATTTGTTCAGATCTAAAGCAGATGTAAAATTTATCTGATTCCAATCAATTTTGAGGGATTCTCAGCAAAGAAGGAGATAACTGCTTTGAGAAAACAAATGTTGTACTTCCTAGATTATGTTTGCTGTTTATTTTCTCTTTACTTTTTGCTCAGAGATTCTTTGCTCAGAATACTAGCCAGCAAAAAGGAATGATGATCATTCAAGAAGTGTGTGCAGACCAGGAAATATAATTAAGATCAAAAAGTCAGAGTGATTTTTTATGTCATTGTAAAATCTTATTTTCGGGCCTTCTGGGAGAATATGCCTACACTGGAGAACTGAAGCTCTGATCTGTGACAAGTAGGTACTCAAGTGCTTTACTGATACAGCTCCTTTACAAAAGTGCTGGATGGACTCAGAGTGCAGCTCCAGAAATCAGGAGAAAGAAACATGAAAAACACTTCCTCTGTAATTAGGAAAAAGTAGATCAGAAAGAAGGTGGAGAGAAACAGAGAAACAAATTTAAAATTCCAGTCTTGGGAACAGAAATAGCAGACAGGACAAACACAGGGACAGGAGAACACACACACCTAAAGAACAAACCGAAAACTGATTGTGTGTGCCTATATGGAAAAGGACATGTTCTCTGAAATTCTTAGCTCAGTTTCAATTTCCCACATCTGAAAAGATAGAATTATAAAGACTGATCCGAAATCGAGTACTGAGAATTTTTAGTACTACCAACCCTTCTGTCAGCTTCCACTATTACAGCATCCTTGTTTTCTTCTGACACAATAACGCATGTGCTGAAAGATGACTTGAGCATGTTAATCACCAAATCATTGGAAAGGATGTCCAGCTTCTTCACCTGATCTCCTGTCACATTGGTAGAACCAGCAATCCCATACCTAAAGTAAGGCAAGGAAAGAGTGACTAGTCAGAGGAGATCACTGCGGCTTCCAGAGCAGCCCATTTCTGACAAGTCAATGCTTGAACAACATCCTGCAGAGGAAACAGTTCTAATGGGTGACCTCTCAGGTTTTTGCACCTGTTTTTTATTTGCAGTCCAGTGGATTCTTACTGATAACTGTGAGCATTACCTGTGTCATGAAAAATCTAGAAGACACTGAGGTGAGGTACACAAAATAAGGAATTGTTTTTTAATAGTCCCTGAATTACAGACACATACAGCCAGAGCGGGCTGTGAAGGCTGAATTACAAAACTGTGTTACTTTATATAAACTATAAGGCCCAAATGCTGTCTCTTCATCCTATCTCCAGTCACAGCTGTTTACTATAAAAGCTAGAAACTGTATACTTAAGAAGTGAATGTGACCATGCTAGTTACACTGTAACTTCTTAGCATAGTTTGCACTTGATTAGCACTTCATGTACAAATTCCAAAACAAATACTTCGCTCACACATAAATCATCAGTTTTACGGTTCAGTGTTTTCAGCTTTTCACTTTAAGCTATAAACATGTCTTTGGGAATAAAACTGAGAAACACAAGCACAAAACACAAATAAAGCCTTGCCAGCTAATCAGAACTACTCTGTCTGGCATCAGGAAGTACCGGGAGACTTGTGATAGGCGATGTTGAAAGCGACCAGAAGAGAGACCAGGAAGTTCAGCTCTCAGCAAAGAAAAACAAGACCCAGCTCTGCACACATTGAGATTTTTCTAACGTACTTCAGCCATGATACACTGATCAATCCAAATACTGGTAATTCAGGTCTTCTGCAATAATGCTGAACTTAGGAAAGCAGAAATGTGCTGCATGCAAGAGACCTGCCATGACTCTCTCTTGTGTCTCTGTTTGCCTCTGTTTCTGCTATGGCACCTTGAACATTTTTTCTGCAAGTGTGAAAGCTTTTCTAGAGAGTGCTGTATCTCCAACTCTAACTTTGGAGAGGAAGGCAGGGAGTATGCTCCACATGAGCCCAGCAGCTACAGACCCCACACCCAAAGTGCTGGGGCTGGGAGATGTGCCCAGCATGCAGCCTGCGGGGGACATTGTGCACAGACACAGAGCCTGCAGCAACTCAGGAAAGCAAGGAAGACATGAGGAATGGTACATCAGCCATAGCAAACAAGGGTGGAGATGGGAATCCCTAGTCCTCAGTGGTCAGAAGAGCAGGTGCTGGAAGGAGCTAGAATGTAACAATGAGAAAGTGATGGTAATCATAAAAGTAGAAGCCAAGGCAGAGCAAAATACTTCAAAAATGCATCAAGTGGAATATCCAGTGTCCTGGAGTTGCTTTTATTTTATTAACTTCACTAAACTTCTCAACTCTCTAATAGTAAAAATACATTTTGCAATAAATACTACTCTGTATTGCTTTCACTCATAATATGTTTTCCACTACATAGTGTGCACGTAGCACAGTACGGCTACAACTTTCATTAAGTAATGAAGCAGTTTATATCGACAATACAGTGATTTATATCACTGAGTAGTTATCTACAATAGTTTTACTTTTGTTTTAATGCCTTGCGAGGTCTGATTTCCTCTTGATGCTCTTGGTGTCAGCTCTGCTGGCTGCCACAGCCTGCTCCTGAGGAAGACTTCAGATCCTCACAAATTCACAATGCTACAAAACGATGTGGGAAAAAAACAAAACAAACTAACAGCTTGATGAGGCACCACATAGCACAAAGCAGTGCACTGATACTGAGTTGTTAACTCCAGTGAGCAATAACCCAACTCAATACACTTTGCCTTTCAGCCCACTCCTTTGGTTTTCTTGTTCAAAACACCCACACCTGGCTGATGAATGTCTGTGTGAGGGTCCCGCTAAAGGACCAAGAAGCAAGTAATACAGCTCACTGCTTCTGGGAGGAGATGCTGTCCGAAATGCTGCCGCAGTCCCGAGAGGAAGGTGGGAAGAGCGGAGGGACGGCAGCGCAGCCCGATGTTTTATGTTCATCCCACCTCCCGCAGCACCCGGCCGGCAGCCCCGACCCCTGCTCGGGACAGCAGCGTCACTCACAGGTTGGCGATGCCGGCCTTGCGCACGGCAGTGGAAATGGCCTTGACGGCGGTGCAGAGCGAGTTGAGGAGCTGCGTGAACTCCCCGGTGCCTTTCGCCCGCCGGCCCTCCTCCATCACGAAGCGGGTCATGGTGATGACATTGGTGTCGAAGGCGGAGCGGTCCGTCATGCTGCCGGCCTGAGTCAAGAGACACCGCGGTCCCGCCGCCGGCTCCGCACCTACACCCGACGGCGGCACCGCCCCTCCGCCCGCCCCCCCGCTCCTCCCACCCCCCCGTTCCGCCCCCGGGGCCGACAGCGGCAGAGGGCTTGGATTTTGGGCGGTCGTGTGTGGGGCCAGGAGTTGGACTCGATGTGCGTCCCCTCCAACTCGGGGTATACTGTGATTCTGTGAAGTACTGTTGTTACAAAACAGCCCCAGGAACCGAGACCCTCCTGAATCCCGCTGCTTTTGGTTCCGGCCTTCTGAACTGTGCAGTAAAACCAAACAATACATTTCACTGCTTATTTGATCAGAAAAATGTACACACTGAACCAAGCTTGCTCAACAGTTGAGCCTAGGCACAACTAACAAATCTGTTAATCTGGAAAATACAAATGTGGATGTAAATGATCCACTTGTTACAGTGTAGAGTCCCTCTGTTGCCCATAGTTTGATATTTACATTATCTAAAGAGATGACTCCAAGAAATTGTGATTATTTACACTAGTTAAGATTATCCATTATTTGGAATGGCACAGACTTAGGTGGGAAGCCACAGGTTCAAATCATTCCAAATACTACGAAATGCAGGGCACATCTTCTTCTTTCTTCTACCTATACCTTTCCTACACCAGAGATCTGCGTAAACACCTACTACTGCCAGTGCACACAGCTTTGGCCTAATTCAGCCATGCCCAGCATTACAGGCAGGACTGAAAGCCAACTGATTTAAGTAGGTGTCACGCTCTTCAGAAGGGGATGATTCAGTATTTCATATTCCAGACTAGAATCATGAAGGTGTTTCTTGGAGATGCTGGTGGATTTTTGGAAGCCTTATAAAACATCTTATTAGCTCTTTACACTCATCTGTGACAACTACATCTGTACAGATTGTTGAGAACAATTAATAGCAAGCATTCTGCAAAGCTTGGATAAGAAGGCTTAAATTGTGTAGAGACAAGAGCCTGGAAACAGAAGCTAGGAAAACATTGTGAAGACCCTAACAAATATACCAGTGACCTGTAAGAAAAGCTATACTTTTGTATAAAATAGCCATGAGCAGAGCAGTTGCGACCTAAGGTTTCATCTTCTTTGCAGTTCTCAGGAAGATCTCCTCAGGTTCTGAGGGAAACCTATGCCCTGTTGGTGATGGTGAGGTAACTGGGGCAAGAGTTTTCTCCTCCGTTCCTACCATGGAAGTCAGGTAGAAACAAGCAAATGGTGAACTGAGAGAGTCACTTGAAATGCTGGCCCATCCAGATATGCATTTCCACTGTGGAGAGGTAACTTAATTATTTTTATCAGTTATATTTTGTTTGTAATTTTCTGAAGTGCAGCACTGCACAATCTGTACAGAGAAGCTGTGGAGGTCCAAACCCTGGAGACATGAAGGGCAGGCTGGGTGGGCTCCTGAGCAGTCTGATATGGTGGGTGGCTGCCCTGCCCATGTTGTGGGTGAAGCTCAATGATATTTAAGATCCCTTGCAACCTAAGCCAGTCAATGATTCTATGGTCTGTGAAGTCAAGACAACATATTTTCATGTCCATGGTCCAAGAGTATGCCCACACAAGGGTCGTTTCTGGGATTTTATTATCTGTAGAAAGTGGACTTCTCATTAAATAACTAAGATCTAGTAGTCAAGGACACTTGTGACTTGTGAGAATATAAAGCTTAGTGCTGTAAGCCTAACGTTCACATGACTTTTCAGACAGAGTCTGCACTGTACAGTTTGTTCCTTACTATGAGAAATGGCTATCTAGCCAAGACATCTGGCTCAGATTTTCTGCACTCTACCTAGACAATAACACGGGTATATCCTGAGGTGATTCTGATAAATTATCAAATATGCATTTACTAAAAGACAAACACCAAGTGCTGTAGCATGGGTGAAATTCCTGTCTCTTTGTCAGTATTTTCAAATATCTTACGGCAATACCAAAAAACCACAGAATCATAGAATGGTTTGAGTTGAAGGTTTTAAGATCGTCTAATTTCAACCCCTTTGCTATAGGCAAGGATACATCCTTCAAGACCAGGCTGCTCAAACCACCTTCATAGTAAAGAATTTGTTCCTAATATCCAACCTAAATCTACCCTCTTCTGGTTTAAAACCATTTACCCTCATCCTGTCACTACCTGCCCTTAGAAAAAATCCCTCCCCAGCTTTCCTTAGGCCCCTTCCATGTACTGGAAGGCCTCTACAAGGTCTCCTCAGAGCCTTTTCTTCAGTTCAGATCCCCAGCTCTCTCAGCCTGTCCTAATAGAGGAGGTGCTCCAGCCCTCTGATCATCTCTGTGGCCCTTCTCTGGACCTGCTCCAACAACTCTATTCCTTCTTGTGCTGGGGGTTCCAGAACTGGACACAATACTCCAGGAGGGGTCTCATGAGAGCAGAGGGACAGAATCACCTCCCTCGATCTGCTGGTCACACTTCTTTTGATACAATCCAGGATATGATTCACCTTCTGGGCTGCAAGTGCACATTGCTGGCTCATATTGAATCTCTCCCATCAACCGATACCACCAAATCTTTCTCCTCAGGGCTGCTTTCAAGCCATTCTCAGCCCAACCTATATCTGTGCTGTATCTGTGCTTGAGATTGCTCTGACCCAGCTGCAGGATCTTGACTTGGCCTTGTTGAACTTCATGAGGTTGACATGCGTCCACTTCTCAAGCTCTGGATTACATCTCATCCTTCTAGCATATCAGCTGCACCACTCAGCTTATACCAAGCAGCTACAAACTTACTAAGGGTACACTTGATCCCACTGTCCATGTAGCCTACAAAGCTGTTAAATAACACCAGTCCCAACACTGATTCCTGAGGAACGCCACTCCTCACCATTCTCCACTTGGATACTTAGTCATTGACTGCAACTCTCTGAGTGTGACCATCCACGCTTTGCACAAGTCCAGGTGGATGATGTCAGTTGTTCTTCCTTTATCCACTGATCCTGTAAGTCCATCATAAGAGGCCAGTGAGTTTGTCAGGCATGACTTAGCCTTGGTGATGCCATGTTGGTTACCACCTATCCCCTCATCTTTTTTTTCCATGTGCCTTTGTAGAGCCTTCAGGATGATCTGCTTCATGATCTTGCCAGGCAGAGGTGAGACTGACTGGCCTATAGTTCCTTGGATCTTCTTTTTTTTTTCCTCTCCTTGAAAATGGGGGTTATGTTTTTTCCAGTCAGTGGGAACTTCACCAGACTGCCATGACTTTTCAAATATGATGGACAGTGACTTCATCCGCCAGTTCCTCAGAACACAGTGTAAATAACAGGAGCAAAAAAAAAAAAAAAAAAAAAAAAAAAAAAAAAAAAAAAAAAAAAAAAAAAAAAAAAAAAAAAAGGAGAGAATGCAAGAGAATGCAAGTGTCAGAAGATTCTTGGACTGCAGAACAATTCAATTTATATCCTAAAACACATGAACATTCCTACAGCAACCAGGTAACTATAAAACTAATATAGGATTAAACCAGAAGAGGGTAGATTTAGACTAGATAATAGGATTCTGTACACATTTTGAACTTTTCCCCTAGAAATCGGTAGTTAAACATTTATTGAAAACAAATTTCTGTCATTTGAGAAGAAAGGTCAGTGTTGGTTGATTAAACATTGCTGAAACTGTCAGTTCTGTGCAGAAGAAAACATAATCTTGTTTGCAAACAGATGACATCAAACTAGGCACAGCACACAGCTGATCTAGAGCTGTAATTGTGCAAATCCACAGCATGTTTAAACAAATTATTATTATGTTGAAAATAAGACACGTAATAATTCCCAGGTACCTTGTTACCAAGCTTGCCTCTTGTAGATTCAAGTAAGAGCCAAAAGAACAATGGGAATAAAGCTGGGGAGGGATTTTTCCCCTGAAGTATGAGTGTCCACATGAGATAGGGAGATATAGATTCCACTTTTGCTGAGAGAAATTCTGTTTATGGAATGTGTGACAGATGTGGAAGTTTCTTTTCAGGTGCGTGGTGTGAGAGTCAGATCTAACAGTCACAGGGTGATAGCTAACAGATGGTATCTCTAACTTACTGTGCTATTGTGAGTGGGACTGGGACACCATGAAGGGGATGCCTGAGACTGGTCATCATTTGCTCTGAGAGATGGATTTGGAGAAGCTGCAGTAGTACTTACAGTCCTTCAGGAAGAGGAAAGTGTCATGCGGGGAATTCTCAGGTGGATTTACATCCACACAATGAATCTTTCCTCTTTTTAGCTTCAATGCTTATTTATTACATGAATTTGGCATGCTGGGCCAGCATTTCAGAGTTTTTGTTTATGACTGTGATAGCATCACATCAGTGGACACAAGTGAAATATACAAGAAGGCATAAGCTTAAGAGGGATGCAATTATAAGGACAAATCGATTCAAAGTTAATATCTAGTATATTAACTACAAAATGGGATTAATTTGATATCATGTGTTAAATTACTTTGCCAATTGAACTGGAAAGCCTATATCAATATAAATGCTGATGTAAGGGGTTTCCAAGCTGTGCTTGTACACTGCCCTGCAGTGCTTGTACACTGCCCTCCCGTGGAAGCAGCGTGTGATTACTCAGTGTTCTACTTTGAGGCTGGCTCTTCTGAGAGCATATTTGGATTTCTTTGTAAGCTGACAAAGTATGTAACATGCAGACACTAAGTGCAGAAAACAAAGTATACATGCATCTGAAAAATAAATGTTGAATTGTAATTTTTATTGTCATTTTTAAAACCTTGTATTTGTTATTGAACCACAAGATCCTAGCTTCTAAACACAGTAAAGAGTATGCTATCTGAAATTACTTATGCTATCATTTCCCATCTTATAAAATGTATAAAGTAAATCTTGTTAAATAATCACTGCAAGTCTACATTAACAAGATTTTGCAGGAAGAAATAATTTTTATCAACATAATGCCATGGTTACATGATATGGTTTCTCAGTGCAACAATCAAATGGAAAAACACTGCCTTTCTATATTTCAAAAGGGAACCTAAAAATTCAAGTGGAATTACCAGGGGTAGAACATGTTGGAAAAGA